ATTGGTGAAGACATAGTTAACTTAAAATGGCATCTTTCACTAAATCTAGATTTTTTTGTAAATGACATATTTCTAATGAAATGTCAACATTTAAATTCGTTATTTTTACATTGTTTATATGTAATGTCAAGTATTTACAAAGTTAAAAAATTAAGTAATTTTAAGTAATCACGCTACTTAAATGTTCAGAAATTTTACATTTAAATTATTAGACTTCTAGCTGGTGGTTTTGGCATTAGTAAAGCAATAAATATTTTGAGTGAATCTGTGTAATGTGGGATATCGATCATGGTAGGCAGCACAGCAACATTTCTGAGTGGTATTAATATTACTATGAAAAATGCTAAATCGAATTATCAGGTCCTTAGCATTTAAGATCCCTGGTATAAGATGTTATAATTAATTTAGCTTCTTTCTTGGAAAATACCCCAAGTTTTTCTTACACTTCAACTGAATATCTTCCAGCCTAAAAGTGAATGACACAATTTTAATATGACTAGTGACTAGATTAATATATGGTTTTTATAAAATCCTGTATTTCTTATTGGATGGAGGATAGATGGCAATATCTTGAACAAAACATTTTAGAAACTTACAGAATTTTAAATCAGCTTTCACTTTTAAAAATCCTGGAAAGGAAGTAATATATAGTCATTTTAACACTGATAATTTTAAATATTTTGCTGTGAAATTTACTTAGTTTTATAAGAATGTGTGAATAAATAATCCATATAATTTTGTCCTCCGGCTGTTTTTTTTTTTTTTTTCATGAACATATATTTGATAATGTGAGAAGACACTGACTGAGCTGTTTAAAAACCAGAATTCTAATTAGAAGTGTTGTAGGAAAAAGCAAATGCAAACTCATTGTGTGTCATTCGTGTGGAATAGTGGTGATAATGTGACTCAGCAACCTGAGATCCTAACATCCAGATTATAGATGGTCAAGCCACTGAACTATTCTGAGGTCAATTATGATAATCTCCCTTACTTTGGAGGCTCACAGTTGAGGTAAAACTTTAAAAATTACATATGATATTATTCA